CTCGCCCACTAACCCCAAAATGACACCGTTTGAGTAACGGCCATCTTGGTCGTTGATCTCCCTTGATCAAACGGCTGGGAACTCCGCACCCATTTACTATATAACTGTCCTAACCCACCCCCATAGCCTAGAGAGCCCTTCATTCCCCCCTCCCCTCTCTAACCTGTAAACCCTAACCGCCCTTTTTTTCTCTCCAAACTCACACAGCCTGAACCCTAGCCTCCGCCCACCGAAAATCGTTTCACGACGGCGGCTGGTCTCCAAACCCACCCAAATTCACACTCCCATAACCTCCACCCCCCCTAAACTCAAATCCCTTAGTGATTTCTCCAAACAACCCCATAAAATCCCGAAATTCCAAATCTAAGAGGAAATCAGTTTGTTCAAAAAGGCTCTCAAATTCGCTATTTCCTCAGTGTTCGAGTTCAGAAGCTTGTTCTCTGATGCCTTCTTCGCGGGTTAGGCTCTCATGAGTCTTTTCTTTCAAGGCGATCCAGTCAAAATCCATGCAAGGACGGATCCCTTGAAGGAAAAGACCTTTATTGGTCAATTAGCGCGGAGAAGGACAATCTAAGGCCGTCTTATGTTTCTTTTACTTCATAAATGGTAAGGCCTCACCACTGTCCTCTCCATTCTTCTTCTTTTTCGAGTCAGTAACTTCTTTTCTTTTTTAGAGTTATTTCGCTTGTTTTGTTTATAGTCATGATCAATCATGTTATGTTGTTAGGGTTTGTTAATTTGGTTTAGCTCATGTTTACTTAGTTTAACTATTGATTAATTTAGTTTTTTATCACATAATCTAGCTATTTTGTTTGTTTTGAATCATTTGGGGTATTTTCCGTCATTTCTTCTATTAGTCTTCTTCACGATTCTTTTTTACTTAGTTTACATGTCTTAGGACTTTCAGTATTTTATTTAATCGTCTTGCCTATGTTAACATGAATCAGCATGTTTATTTCTGAATATTGGCAATCTCTTGATTTGATTTAGGTTCATTGTTGGTTACATTTGTGTTTGCCCTAATATGTAAAATCAGTAGACACTTCTAGAGGCCAAATGAACAAAAGAAAACTTAAAGGGGTTGTTTGAAGGATAGGCAACAATGGAATTCAGATAACGCCATTTAGGAAGCTTCTAGAACATGGGCAGCTGGCTCTATTTGGCCAGTACAAAATGCTGAAGCCAATTAAAGGCTGTGAGCTGTCCAATTCTGTTAGAGAAGATGCTTTTGAGGGCTGCTCTCAAAAGGGAATTATTCCCTGACTTGGAGAGTAGATAACAACCCTCTTAGAGTATAAATATGACCTCTTCTTCACTCATTAGGAGATTTCTTCAGAACCCAAAAACACTCCTAAAGGTTCAGTATTGTTTCACTAGAGCTGATTCTCTTCTCCTCTGATTTGAGCAAAAATTTTAAGAACTGCTTTGGGATTTCTAGTTTCCACAAGTCGAAAATGGATTAAGTTTGAGTTGTGTGTGGCTGTTTCATGCTTCTTTCTCTCTACTGATTTCTTGCTGAAAATACATCTTTTGTTGCTGAATTACTTGCATCTACTTAGCATTTTTGGAGCAGTCCTTAAGTAGCAAGGTACACACCTTATCTTGTGCCAAAGTCTCTGTAAATCTAACTTAATATGAATGCAAGAGATTTTGTTGAGTGCTAAGATGTTATGATGCAATTCATCCTCATACATGCAATAATATTTGAGCTTTTTCTTGACCATGTAAATCTTTGTTAATTCAGTGTTTCTTATATTATGAAAGCATGTTTCTTGTGTGTTAAATTATGTATTTGTTATCTGTTGGATTTAGGTTATATATATTGTTTTATTTTTTTATTCTTGTCTAATAGTCCTGTTTTGTTGGCTGAGTTTGTGTGATAACACAGTTGTCAACATGTGTGTAGCCATTGCTCTTGGTGGATCTGACCTCGACATGGTCAGATCCATGTGAGTTCAAAGCTAAGACAAAATTTTGCTTATATATGAAAAAGCTGGCAGCCTTATGAAAGACTATTGCCCAAAATTTCAATTGTACACATTAGGGTATTGGTTTTGATAGTTTAGTTAGAGTATGTTTATCTTTTCATAGGTTGAGTCATGTTCGTGTTTTGCTTAATCGTTAATTATTCATCAATGACTCATAGTCTGTGGTTACTGTTAAATAGATATGGAATTTCCATGTAAATAGATGTGATGTATAAAGATATTGGGAGGTTCAGAATTGAATGTTTTAAGTAGCTTATTTTTCATGTGTTGGATCTGCTTGGAAATCCAAGATGACTGTATGATGATTCAGCCCTTTTCTTTCATCTATTTCATTGAAAGGGCATGTTGAATATTATGCTGGCCATGATGTAAGTCCAAGGTCCAAGTTCATACACTTTTCAAAAGGAAAATCATTGTTCAAATGCTAAATGATGTGTGAATTTGTTATCTTTGGATTCTGTATTGATAAAGTGCTTATACATATGATGTTAACATGATTAATCAGTAGTTTAAATTAGTTCAACATATTCGATTTCAAAATTGAATAATTGTGTAGTTATTTGTGTATTAGAAGAGGTTGAATTTCAGCAGGGGCCTTAGCATGTTAAAGGCTTTCCTATTAAAAATAAATGGGCTTGATGTTAGCCCAAATGAGACGGCCCGGTCAAGATCAGACCTGGCATGATCTCTAGGTCTCTTCCGCTTTTGGGGCTCAATTTCAAGCCTAATTAAAATCAGCAATATTATTCTTAAGGCCTTTTTAACCAAATAACGCAACAGGCCTCCTGTTGGCCCAATATTTCGGAATAGTTAAAAGCATGTATCATTTTCCAATGCCTTAGATATAGTTCGTGGCCATCCAACAAATCTCAAATTAGTTTTAAGAAGTAAGCATGAACCTTCATAGTTTGCTTTAGGCACACTATAACAAATCATCGTGGCTATGGATACGGTTCCCGTGGCATGGTCACGATATGTAAATCCCATCCGGGTGTGCATTTCATGTGATCCGACCATAATTTCGTAATAATAAAAAATAAGCATGTTGTAAACCGCGGGTGCATTTCATGCGACGCGATTCACAATGTGTTCAAAAACGACAAGTGTACGACAATCGTGCCTTGTTCCAGAAAATAATTCCATAAATACTAAAAGTGGTTAAAAAGTTAAAAATGGACGTAGGTTTAAAATATATAATTAATTAGATAATTAGGCCAATTATTAATAGTTAAGCGACCGTGCTAAAATCATGAAACCCGGGAATGCCTAACACCTTCTTCCGGGTTAACAGAATTCATTACCCGTATTTTTGTGTTCGCAGACCATAAATAAGAATCAACTTCCTCGATTCGGAATTTTAAACCGGTGACTTGGGACACCATAAATTATCCCAAGTGGTGACTCTGAATTTGAATAAATAATTCAGTTTCGATTATTGTCACTTTAATTAGAAAAACTCCCTTATATACCCCTCTCGGGGTAGAAAAAGGAGGTGTGACACCTGTAATAGTAGCTCCAATGGTAAGTCGCCAGTTGACTTCATCTTCTCCACCTCTCCCCTCAATTGCTTCACCGACTCCTTTGAGGCCCGAGTCTTTTTCAGCTTTTTTGTCTGCTTGCTTAGCTCCTTAAGTGTTTTTCCTTGAACTGCAAGAGCATCCATGATAAGCTTTTGGTTGTCTAGGAGCTTTTTCTGGTTGTCAAGCACCTAGGGCTGTGCGGGAACTGACTGGGATGCCACTGAATTGGATAGCACAGACAACTTAGAAGTTGCTGCCTATATCCAGTTGTTGATGCTGTAGAGTGTTTGGTTCAACCTATGAGCAGTCAACGGGTATGCTAAGGAGGAGGGCACCGAGGATGGCATGGAAGTAGATGGTCCGGAGGCAGGATCCGGTATGGCAGCGGGAGGCTGTGAAGTAGTGACTACTAATGTTGGCTCTTCAGACTAGCCAGTAGAAGTAGTAGCTTTGCCCTTGTATCCCTTGGATTTGGGGTTGCCTAGACCGTGAAGGTTATACCATGAGAAGGGCTTTTTGGGCTTTACCATGATATCGTAATCCCTTTTCTCTACCTCCCGATCTTCCAAGTACATGGTGAGGAAGTTTGGAAAGGGGTAAGATCTATCACCCTCGTTGACCACTCTAGTGATCACCCTAGACATGATATTCCCGACATCGATCAGGAATCCCACCATGATAGCCGCCACAATAATCGCCCGGGAAACCGGTATGTCACTGTCGTGAGTAGTAGGGTCTAGTCTGTTGCATACAAAGGTCTCCCAACCCTTATCCTCAAAGTTCAAGATGTTCCTCAAGATAGGAACCCCCGCTGCCAACCAAGCTGGAGTAGTATCCAGGAGAGCCAGTAGTGATGCCAACCACAGGCGGGTTGCCTCATCCATAGCCATTTTCTCTAAGTACAGTGACTCATCTTCATCATTGAATCTGAGATAATCATTCAGAGTCTTCTCATCAAACTTGACCTTCAGATTCCGCACCTTAGTAAAAAATGTGCCCTTTTTGATGTGGGAGGCATTGGCGTAAAACTTCTTGACTAGGTGCTTATTAGCATCCAGCACCTTGCTAGTGCAGTATTCCCACCCCACTCTTTCATTGAAGTGTTGCTTCACATTGGGATTGTAGGGCAGAAGATCCCGCTCTATGAACTGACGCTCAGGTATGAGTGACTTTTGAGGCCACCACTCCCTGAACTTGTGATATTCCAGCTCACTGACAAACCTCTGTTGCCACACCACCGAGTTTTTTGTCCTTTCCACACCTTCGGTCTGGGTATCACCCCCTCTCCCATCATCAGGTACCTCAGCATCTACATCTTTGGGATCCTGTCCAGGTGACGAAGCTGTAGGTGAGGCTGAAGCTGAGGACTCACCACTCTCCGCTGAGCCATCAGACGGCTCAGAAGAAACATGAGCAGTAGAAGAGGCTAGGGGTGTAGGCTTGTCTGTCAATCTAAGTCTTTCCGAAGTTCGGTACATGTGTGGGTACAGAGCTACTCTCTGAGGCCTCCTGGAGGGAACATACTCACTCCCCTCGGAATGGGATGCAGCTCTGTTTGCGGCTTTGATTTTTTTTGCATCTTCCCAATTGATTGTCGGACTGCTGGGGTTAACTTAATTTGTCCTCGTCCCCTACCACGGGAGGATTCTGCTTTCCCCTTTTGTTTCTCACCACCACCTCTAGATTTAACCATTGTATGCAAACATAATTAGTGGAAAATTGTTAGTACTAGTGCTAGAAGAAGCAATGAAGAAAAGCAGAAGAGCAGTTGACAGTGCTTGAAAAAGTTGCAAACCGTTGACAACGGATTAAGAAGCGCAGCCGCGGAATAAGCACCACTGACCGCGGAAAATGTAGCACAGCCACAGAGGTGTGGGGATCAGACTACCCACCCTCTGATTCTATGGTACCGCTGGGCGTGGCCGCGGAGGTTGCACCGCTGTCCGCAGAAAATCAACCACAGCCGCGGACCCATCTTTTTACTTCTCTGAACTTGCGCACTACTGACCGCTAGAAATGCATCGCGACCACGGAGGTTGGGCCACTATCAGCGGAAATTGTCACTGCTGACCTTGGTCATCAATAATTCCCAACTCAGGCATGAACAATGACCGCGAAAAACTACCATGGCAGCGGAATTCAAAATCGGCCTGAGTCAACCTAGGGTTTCAAATTTTTCATGCATTTAGCACTATCATCTACATTGTTAACCCTAACTAGCTATTAATTAATCAACCCTAACTATTTAAGCCTAATTTAATTAACACTAAGGAACCCTATGTTAAAATTAAAAGAAGAAGAAGAAGAAGAAGAAGAAGAAGAAGAAGAAGAAGAAGAAGAAGAAGTAAAATCTAACAATTAAAAGAGAAATAAGTACAAAATTAAAGAATAATGAAGGAGTAAAATTACTAGATGTGTAATGTGTGATGAAAAATGGACTTTAATTGTGCTTGTGCAGATTAGGGCTCAGAAGAACATTGAAAATTTAGTTTGAGAGTCAAAGGATCGAAAAGGGTAAAAGGCTTCATTATATTCTATTTATAGAAAATACCCTGGGACCCACAATACTTACCTGGAGGGGCCGCGGAAAATCACCGCAGTCTGCGCTGCCGATGAACAGAAGGCCTTCTCTGAGTGAAACAATCGTTGAGAGCGAAAAATGGTACGCGGCCGCAGTAAGGCACCGCTCTCAGTGAAAAATAGCACCGCGGACGCGGATGAAACTTCAGAGAAGTCTCATTTTGGACTTTTCAATCCCGCGTCCGCCACCAAATTACGCCTCCGCAATAAGGCCACCGCTGACCTCAGAAAATGGAGCGTTGTCAGCGGTCCAACTTCAGACTGTTGCACAATTTTTCCAGCTTAGTCCTGCACTTCATCAAATATTCTTACACATATCTCACAACTAGTTAGTTCAAAACAAAGCCTACACTAAGAAGAAAATCAAAAAGAAGAAAAACACATGGGTTGCCTCCCAAGAAGCGTCTGATTTAACGTCGCGGCATGACGCAAGTTACCATCAATCATTTAAGATGGATCATTGCCACCACATGACTGTCATCAAACTTGCCAAGATAATGTTTTACTCTGTGCCCATTAACTCTGAAGATTTTACTATTTTTGTTTTTCAAATCAAGAGCACCAAACGGAGTTACAAGCACCGCCTCAAAAGGTCCACTCCATTTGGACTTGAGCTTTCCCGAAAACAGTTATAACTGAGAGTTGAATAAGAGGACCAAGTCACCTTCCTTGAATTCATTGCTACAAGCATACTTGTCATGTAAGTACTTCATCTTGTCCTTGTACAAGAGCTGGAATAGGCATGAAACCGAAACTCATCAAGATCATTGAGTTGCTCTACCCGAAGATTTGCTGCAATATCCCATTGAAGATTTAACTTTCTCAAAGCCCATATGGCCTTGTGCTCTAACTCAACCGGGATATGGAAAGTTTTCCCAAACACCAACCGGTACAAAGACATACCAATTGGAGTCTTGTAAGCAGTCTTATAAGCCCACAAAACGTCATCCAATTTCTTTGACCAGTCAGTCCTATTTGCATTGATAGTCTTTGACAATATGCTCTTAATCTCCCTGTTGGAGACCTCAACTTCCTCACTAGCCTGAGGATGGTAAGGAGTGGAAACCTTGTGATTGACACCATACCTTGCAAGCAAAGTATCAAATGCCTTATTGCAGAAATGAGAACCTCCATTATTGATGATTGCTCTAGGGGTGCCAAACCAAGTGAAGATATTCTTCTTGAGAAAAGCCACCACACTCTGGGCCTCGTTGTTGGGTAAAGCCATGGCCTCAACCCATTTGGAAACATAATCAACGACCACCAGAATGTATGTGTTTCCACATAAACTTCCAAAAGGTCTTATGAAATCAATGCCCCACATGTCGAATATGTCAACCTCGAGAATAGTAGTGAGTGGCATTTCATCCTTCTTTGAAATTTTACCAGCTCTCTGACACTCATCACATCTTTTCACAAGCTCACTCGCATCCTTGTACAATGTAGGCCAATAAAATCAACAGCTGCCTTTGAAGCTGTCCTCGCCCCACCATGGTGACCACCATAGGGAGAGGAATGACAAGCATAAAGAATACTCATTTGCTCTCTGAAACACATCTTCGGATCACACCATCATTACAAATTTTGAACAAATAAGGCTCATCCCAGTAGTAGTCCAAGCTATCCTGTTTAAGCTTCTTCCTTTGGTTAGAAGAGAGCTCACACGGAACAATGTTGGTCATAAGAAAGTTGACAACATCTGCAAACCAAGGCATGCTATTCATAGAAACGGAGAGGAGTTGCGCATCAGGGAATGAATCATTAGTTTTGAGGCCATCATGAGGCCTCCCCTCCTCATCCAAGCGGGACAAGTGGTCTGCCACTTGGTTTTCACTCCCTTTTCGATCAACAATCTGAAGGTCAAACTCTTGAAGCAATAGTACGCATCTCATCAACCTAGCCTTGGAATCCTTCTTTGTCATCAAGTAGCGGAGTGTTGCATGGTCAGTATGAACTATCACCTTGGCACCCATTAGATAAGGCCTAAATTTCTCCATTGCAAACATAATTGCTAGCAACTCTTTTTCCGTCACCGTGTAATTTACTTGAGCACTATTCATTTTCTTGCTTGTATAATACACCGAGTGAAACATCTTGTTTACTCTTTGATGCAAGACCGCTCCTACCGAAACATCATTTGCATCACACATGAGCTCAAAAGGTAAGCTCCAATTGGGTGCGGTAATAATGGGAGTGGTTGTCAATTTGTACTTGAGAAGTTCAAAAGCTTTCATGCATTCATCATTAAACACAAACTTTGCATCCTTTTCCAATAATTTGCACAAACGGTTCACTACCTTAGAAAAATCTTTAATGAATCTTAGGTAAAACCCCGCATGCCCAAGAAAACTCCTAACCTCCTTGACTGAAGTAGGAGGAGGAAGCTTTGAAATCACTTCAATTTTCGCCTTGTCCACCTTAATACCGTTCTTTGAGATCTTATGGTCGAGGACAATGCCCTCCTTGACCATAAAGTGGCATTTCTCCCAGTTAAGTACTAGATTTTTCTCCTCACATCGGGCCAACACTTTGTCAAGATTCTTCAAACACTCATCAAAGGAGTCACCCACAACACTGAAATCATCCATGAACACTTCCAAGAAGTCCTCCACCAAGTCGGTAAATATAGCCATCATACACCGCTAAAAGGTAGTCGGTGCATTACACAAACCAAATGGCATCCTAGAAAATGCAAATGTGGCATACGGACATGTGAAAGTGGTTTTTTCCTGATCTTTCAGAGCAATCAAAATCTGGTTGTAACCTGAGTACCCATCCAAAAAGCAATAAAAGGCACGCCCAGCAAGTCTATCCACCATCTGGTCAAGAAATGGCAATAGAAAATGATCCTTGCGGGTCACTTTATTCAGCTTCTAGTAGTCCATGCACACCCTTCATCCGATGACAGTCCTGGTGGGAATCAACTCATTTTGCTCATTGGTGACCACAGTCATACTACCCTTCTTCGGCACACATTGCACCGGTGAAGTCCAAGAACTATCCGAGATGGGGTACATAGCCCCTGCATCAAGCCACTTAATCACCTCCCTTTTGACAACTCTTGCATAACCTCGTTCAACCTCCTTTGATGTTCCACGGAGGGCTTTGCATCATCCTCAAGTATAATCTTGTGCATGCAAAAGGCGAGGCTTATTCCCTGAATATCAGCTAGAGTTCATCTAATTGCCTTCTTTCTTCTATGGAGCACCTCCAGTGTGGCATCTACCTGCATGTTAGTAAGACAAGAAGAAAGAATAACATGTAAAGTTGAACTAGGGCCTATAAATTCATACTTGAGGTGTGAAGGCAAAGGATTCAATTCCAAAATGGGAGATTCCTCAATTGAGGGCTGTGTTGGGGAAGTCTTTTTGTTCTCAAGATCCAAAGAAAGCTTACGAGGCTTATAAGAATAAGAACCCATTCCATGCAAAGCGTTAACACACTCCACCCGACCTTCATCCTGATTCACATCAAGGTTCAATAGTACCACTTCTAAAGGATCCTCCACATTGACCATGGCACTAGTATCATCAGCTATCACCTCCGTGACAATATCCACAAAAGAGCAAACTTTAGTACTATTTGGCTGCTTTATTGATTTGCACACATAAAAGACAACTTGCAATCTCATTGACACATAGTCGACTTTGCAGTTAAGAATTACAAAATCAGCAGGCAAAATAAACTTGTCCACCCGGACAAGAACATCTTCAATAATACCAAGCAGCCTCTTCATTATTCTATCCGCCATTTGCAATCTCATGAAGTAGGTCTCAGTTGACCAATACCCAAAGTTTTGAACACGGAGTAAGGCATCAAATTGATGTTTGCTCCCAAGTCACACAATGCCTTTACAAAATCCGCACTCCTAATGGTACATGAAATGGTGAAAGCGCCGGGATCTTCAAGCTTTGGAGTCATCGAGTGCATAATTGCACTTACTTGGTGAGTCATTTGATGGTCTCACAATCCATATATCTCTTTTTAGTTACCAAGTCTTTCATAAACTTGGCGTAACCTGGCATTTGCTCAAGAGCTTCCACCAAAGGAACATTGATCGACAAGTTTTTTATCATCTTAATAAACTTCTTAAATTGGTTTTTATTCTTTTGCTTCACAAGTCTTTGAGGGTAAGGTGGAGGAGGCCTTGGCAAGGGAGCCTTATCCTTGGGCACTACCGTTTTCCGCATGTCTATCATGTGTTCCCTAGACGGGTTCACATCATTTTGAGTCTCCACCTTATTATCATGGATATCAATTCTCACTTCCATATTTAAATTGCCGTCACTCACTTGCTCATCAACTATAGGAACATCATCATTTTGCACTTCAACCTCATCACTCACTATTTCCCTTTGCTTGGAGGTATTCACTTCACCACCTCTACCTCTTCTTGTGATCATCGCCATTGTATGCCCAGTATTGTTCCCACCCTTCGGGTTTACTACTGTATCACTAGGTAGATCCCCCTTAGGGCGAGTATTCAAATATTGCGAATCTAGCCAAGTTGAACCTCCAAATTTCGGATTGAAGTATTATGGGAAGCCAACTGAGCATCAGAGTCGGCATTCTTTTTCATCATTTGTTCAAACATCATCTCGATCCTTCCCATCTCATTGTTTGACTAGCTGGGACCTTGGGACAGAAATGGAGGCAGATTGTTTGGTTGTTGATACATCGGAGGTCTTTGAAAGCCTTGCCCCCGATTCCCTTGATTGCCATTATTCCAACCCCCTTGGTTGTTGTTTCATCCCCAATTGTTGTTGTTGCCACTCCAGTTGCCCTGGTTGTTCCGGTTGCCCCAATTCTGATTGTTGTTCCCCTAGTTGCTATTTCCCTGTTGGTTTTGATTTCCCCAGTTTCCTTGGGATCTCCACTGTTGTTGTTGGTTAGGAGCATTGCCCCTTTGTCCTTGATAATTGTTCACGTACTGTACTTCTTCACTTTGCTCAGCATACCCATCATCTTGGTTGAAACCACTGCTATATTGCTCATATTGATCCGTATTTCCCTGACTTTGTTAACCTCTTTGTCGCCTCTTGTTGACCAACATGTTTACACTTTCCATAGCATTTACTTGTCTCGGCGCTTGAACTTATTGTAATTGAGCTTTACTGGTTCATTGTTGTAGTCAACTCTGCTATTGCCTAGCCATGGTCGTGGAGCTCTTTGTGCAGGTGAATGACAGTGGGATCACCCTGTGGCATATTAGCTCGACTTTGCCAAGCTGAGGAAGTATCAGTCATCTCATCAAAAATGTCACAGGCCTCAGCATAAGGCAACTTCATAAAATTACTCCCTGCTAACTGGTTTACCATACATTGATTGGTCGTGTTTATACCCTGATAAAATGTCTGTTGAATGCTTCAGCCATATCATTATTAGGGAATTCCTTGACCATAGTTCTATATCTATCCCAGATTTCATGAAGGGGCTCATTTGGTTCTTGTTTGAATAATATGATTTCATCCCTCAATGCAACCATATATCCCGGTGAGAAAAACTTGGCTATAAACTTATCGGTCAACTCATCCCACGTAGTGATGGAATGATTGGGGAGTCTTTCGAGCCAGTCCAAAGCTTTCTCTCTAAGTGAGAAAGGGAACAATCTCAGTCTCAATGCATCCTCCGACACATTAGTTTGTTTGCTTCCGCAACAGGTATCCACAAAGCCCTTTAGATGTTTATATGCATTCTGATGGGGAGCACTTGTGAAGTACCCTAGTTGATCCAATAAAGTCAATATCACATTTGTAATCTGGAAATTGCCCCTCGGATCCGAGGTGGGACAATTGCTCTTGCGTACCCTTCATTTGGAAGCACCTGAGGAGCCACTCTTGGAGGAGCTGGGGGAGGGTCTAGAATGTTATCATTGTCCTGGAGGCCTCTTCTTTGAGCTTGAGGTACTAGAGGTACCTCGTCTTCATCATTATCATCTACCTCCTCCCCCGGGATAGCATTTCCAAGATTATAGTTATTTGCCATTTTGTACTGCTATCCAAGATTATCGTTGTTTGCCATTTTGTACCTAAATCGATTAACTCACAGAAGTTAGTAAAATAGAAGGAAATAAAAACAAGACACAAAACTAGTCAGATAGATAGCCAAAACTATTTAGGTCCCCAGCACCGGTGCCAAAAGGTAATCTGAGCCAACCCTATACCATTATAGAGTGGCAAGAGCGGTCGATGCAGCTTCTATACGAAAGGTCGGGATCGAATACACAAA